AGTCCTAGCAGACAGTTGTCTACGTTTTGTCATTACAGAGGGTAAACAGACATGACTTGAGTGGGAAGGAGAGCGGGGGAAGTGGACTGCTAATTTAGTCTGGCTTTAATACTGCACTGTGAAAGAAGTGCTGAATGATTTGTGGGCAATATTTACAAACCTCCCCTCCCTCAATCCATCCGTCCTTTTTCTTCAAGCATACATTGTTTAAAAGCATTAATGCTTATTATTTGACAGAATGAGTACAGACGATGCTTGGTTTTGCAAGGGGGTGGGGAGACTTTTCTGTCATCCCCCCATCAACTACTGCTCTGTTCATTATTCCAACAGAAACACTCCTGTGTTCCCTTGAAAATACGTAACATTTACTCATGCGTGCATGTATACACTTTCAGCACCTCCATACAATATATATCTTTTTTGCCTTTGTGTAGAGTAATCACATGGCTACCTTTCATATGCTAGATGTCAAAATCTCTAAACACATAAATTAATAAGGAAAAGAGAAAGGAAGGAAGGGAGGAAGGAAGAAAGGAAGAAAGAAACCAGCCTATAAGGCAGCCTCCCACTCTCTTATCAGCAGCAAGACCTTGCCTTTTACTGCCTGACCTGGCTGTTATGTTCCTTTATGGGCCTTCAGTTTTGAGAATGGGCATGCCATTGCAGCAGTTCAGCATCTAGGGTTATTGTTTGCATAAATCAGTGCAACTCCATAGACTTTCAGCATCAGTGTTTTGGTTTATGCCAGATGAGATTTTGATCCATGGCATTTGATGATGCTTCCAGTTTTCAATTTTCTTCTTTTGTTTTGTGGGGTTGTTTGGTGGATAGAGGGGGTTAGGATGCGCCATTTATTGGTTAATGAAATCACATTACACCTGGAGATGGCTGAGCAAAGCCAGCATCTCACAGTTCAGTGCCATAGGTTGCACTCATTTCCTCAGATAGCCAGAGCCACTCCTGAGAAACTGGAAGCATTACAAATCATGATTTAGTTTAAATAAATAAAATGTAGGGCTTAAATCAAAAATCAGGATTGAAATTTGATGCAGCAATCAAGGTTTAGGTGAGAAAGGCGTTGGCTTTTAGAACGTTTTAACATAGGTCACACTACAGCAAAACTCAGACATAACCAAGGTTTGATCTCAGCTCAGTCTGTGTGTACTAAAGCAGAGAGAAGAGTCTATTAGGTTTTGAGAAATTAGATCCTGTTCAAAACACAGCGTTACTCCTTTACAAAGGACGCAGACTCTTCATGCCATGATGAGAGCTTTGATGGTGCTCAGCATTTGTGAGTCTTCCTTTTATTCACTTCTGTATCACTGATATCTTTACATTAAGCAGCGGACATGCTCATAAGCTCATCTGATTTATCCGACTTTTCTACTTTCATGTTAAAACCTGAAACAATTTTGTTTGTGTGATGAGGTGGTACAACTCTTCGTGAAGTTACGTGACTGCTGCTTTAGACTCCGCTAGCTGGGTCCTATATTTGCATGTAAAAGTCTGACTTCATAATGCTGCTTTATTTTTGGCTTTGTGCAAGCTGTTTTCTAGTTGAATCAATAGTAAAACTGCTCCTTAAGGCAGATAAATATGTAATTAGTAGAAATAATGGAGCAGTAGTCAGTCAGCTGCAAAAGTGATGCTTCATCTAAATGTGTGTAAGGCACTTTATTTAGTTGGCATGTTTCTAACATCTATTAAGTTAAATTATGAGAAGTGTTTTGAGGCTTTTCACACAGAATGTGAAGCTTTTCAGTCCTTATTTACATGTGTGAATATATATGCATGGAGATTTCAACCCATGAATTAACTCCAGAGGAAAACAAACCACCAGATAAACACAAAGCCTGGGTTTGTGTTTGGGTTTATTATTTTTTCCTTTTAGAAAGCAAAGAAGCATCCTTACAGAATTTTCTGATTAATTTATTCAAAGAACTTAATTGGTGTATCACAACACAGAAGTATAATTTACATGGCATTAAAAAACGGAATTGCTCAGTTCTTTGCCTGACAGCAGCCAGCTGAGAGAGTAACAAGAAATCAGTCTTTGATGGTCATTTGTATGACTTTGAAATGTGTTTTTATTTAAATCTCATCTCATGCTCTTGGGCTTTCTATATGTTTAAATATTATGCAGTTTTATTAGCACCAGTTAATACTGGTAGCTCTGGATAGATAGAGAGAGAGGGAGAGAGAGAGAGAGAGAGAGAGAGAGAGAGAGATAGATAGATAGATAGATAGATAGACAATCAGTCAGTCAGTCAGTCATCTCCAGGTCCTGTTGGAAGTCACAGTGCATCCCAGAGCTTTAATGAAAATACAAAACCTATGCAAAGCCACTTCTGCATTGGATATTAAATCTTTGCAATCAGAAACCTGTTTGGTAGTTTGCTTCTGGGAGGCAGGTACGGAAAGAAGTAGTTTATCACAGTAGTGAAGAAGTGCAACATGACATACGCAGGTATGTAAGGGTTTGGCTCCCTTAGGAGGGACACCTACACCTCTACAACCAGGCTAAATAGGGTAGTGTGGGTCATGGCTGAGACATGCTCAAAACCTGTGCACTGTCATCCCTCAAATAATATATGTCTCTGCTCTGCAGCCCAAGGTCCTTCACTACCAGCTGCTCTGCCAGGAACTGAGAGAGAGATGAGTGGTGGGAGGAGGATAGGTAGGTGAGGGGATTGTACCTCCATATACCAGGGTGTTTTACTAGTAGCATAAGAAAATCTGGGAAAAATTACAGATCTTTGGTTTTCCACCTCCCTAGAAGCACAAAGTACCTTGTCACTCTGTCTCATAAAGATTTTGAAGATGGTTTTAATACTTGAAACTTCCTCCGTCTTCAAAGAACAACAAGACCTCGAGACAGATATGTGGGAATTCACTTAGCCAAGTAATGCAATTTGAGTTTGTCTGCAGTGATCTGCAAACCACAGACTCTGAAATGAGCAAGGGGTTATGTGAATGTTCTACATAAGTATTTATTTTTATTTTCCTTAGCAGAACCTGTCAAATAAAACATCTCTTGCCCTTCAGAACTCTTGCAGTTTGTGCAGCGCTTCTGCAAGCTAGGGCTTTGCTTAGTACGCTTACTTTGAGTTTACTTATTATAACAGTGCAAAATACAAGCTGGTTTTGCTCTGGGAATTGAGTTCTGCTGCATTCTATTCCTGGTTAGCATCAGTTGCTTCCTAGCATTGGCAAGGATGCTCATGAAATCTGGGCATGTCTAGTGCAGGAAAGGTTAGTAGATTTAACAAGGAGGCATTAAAAACTGATTTAATAGAGCAGTAGCCTGGACTTTAGCATGTAACATAATTTCAGCATTGCTCCAGGGTAAGTATTCCATTTTTACTTTTTTTTCATTCCAGACTAAATGAAACAGATGCCTCTCAATACACTTCTTGGTAAACACACTCTCAGAATCCTCCATCCAATTGTAAGTGATTTGATGGCTAAAAATGCAGTCTGTGATAGAGAAAACAGATGCAGTGATAATTATCCCAGTGCCCTTCATATCGAACATTAACTATTGGTGGTGGAAAAAAAGAGGCTGAAATCAAAACAAAGTGGGATTTGCTGCATCAGATCAGACTATCCCTTCAGGTTGTGACATTATCTTCAGATGTGGGCTGAGCTTGTCATAATTTATAAAGAAATCATAAATGCTTCTTTATAACACTGAAAAGAATGTATAAGGCTTCTCATATTCACTATTAGTTATTTGCACATGATTCTTCCTAGTCAGGCATGGAACTCAGAAGGTCTTGAGTATTTCAAATCTACAGCCTGAATTTTCCATGCAGTTTTACTGCCCCCAAAAGCAGTTATCCAGCTGTGCTCTGTCTTCAGTAATACAGGATCTGAAATGCCTTGATAGGAAGTTTGAGGTTGCATCACTGAAATAAGTTTTGCCTGTGGCTGTTGTGGAAAATTCCATGTGGATGTGCAAGCTTATCATCTGATCTTCCAAGATGCTGGTAAGTAGAGCACTAGCCAGAGTGACCAGCATGTATGCAAGAGCTTAGTCCAGGCTGGAAGGTTTAGTCCTTTGACTAAAATCATTGCAGCTTCTTCTGACTGCTCTTGTTTTGTTATCACATAGCTGATGATGGTTCAATTTTAACATATAAATGTCCAACAAATAGCCTGCAATATGATCTAATCACTTCTGCTGTTTTGTTTTTTCTTCTGATTCTTTTTCAAAGGGTTTCAATGGTGAAAATGTGAAACTCCTCTCTGAAGATGACAAAGGTATTTGGCCCAGATTCCCATCAACTAACTGGAGGCATCTAACCTGGAGGCATCTAACCTGCGATGCCTAAGGGCCCTCACCCAGCATTAGCTCTCTGAAAGCTGGGCTGCCCCAGATCCAAACTGATAGTCTGTCTTCCTTCACTTGACAGTCAGGACACAACAGGCATTTTCAGAGGGTAGTTGAGCCCCTCCTGAAATGGGTGGGAAAATTGTCTCCTGCAGTTGCCCGTTTTATCTCTGACTGTAAAGGGAGCCTAAAGTGGTGACATGAGCTAGAAGCCTGATTTTTGGTGGCTTGGTTACCTGAGGTGAGTGTTACTCCAGTCAGCCTCATTGTTCCTTCACTTCTGCTCAAGAGAGAGGAAAGACAGTGCCTTTCTGAGGGTTAGTCAGCTCAGCTGAGATCTGAATCTGCCCTTGGGAAGTGCTGTTTTTCCTTTGACTATTAGAAATGGACAGCTCAGAGAGAGTGTTAGGATGGAACCAGATTGTCTTCCTACAGTCTTATTCTGGAGAAGAAGAGAGCACTTGTTTCAGAGCCCCAGAGCTCTGCCGGTTCACTGGGTATTAATCTCTCCCAAATAAGGAAGACTGTAAGTGTTACCATCTATGGGACACAAATGCCTTACCAAAAGGCTTTTGACTTACCAAGCTGTTTTCTTCATGATGTGAAAATATATGCTATATTGATTAGGAAATAGTCTACTGTGACATCTGAACACAGACACTCTTGGCTGGAGACTTAACAAAGTGGGCTGCTTTCATTATGAAAACTAAATGTAATAATATCTTGTCAGTTGCCAACATATTTCTCCGTAGAAGTGGCCTTGCTTATTTTAGTCCTAGTCACATTAACACAAGTTAGAAGTATGTGCCACCATCTTCTGATGTACAAATGAATGTGTTCATGTCATTCAGTCGTCCTAAAAGGTTGGGCAATAAGATTGAGCTGCTGTGCTAGGCCTGTTCTTCCTCAGCTGGTCCAGCTTTGGTCAGAAGCATGCTCATGGAATGGACTCATCAATCTGGAGTAGAGAAGCATAATGCTGTAACACAAGGTATCCAGAGGCTGGTGGTTAAAACAGGAAACTCATGTAAGCTTATCATTGACAGGTAGGTAAACTTTGGAAACTGAGTTGAGTTCACCTGTGTGAAATGTGTGAGAAATAGGTTAAGGCCATGCTGTCTGTTTACCTGCTTTTAATCTCCACCAGGGCACAGCAATTTATCGTCTTGCCTAAGTGAAAACCTTGCTCAAAACAGAGGAATGGTCTGAAGTCCCATGGCCAGGGATGCTAAGGATACACAAGTGTTCAGGTCAGAAAAATCTAATGGGCTTTCTGGGTTTGAAATATACCTGTCTAGATACAGTTTGTACAGATTATATTTGGCTTTCATTCTGCATATGTCAAATACACTCATGGGATGGTCTGAAGGTAGCTCCTAGCTCCTGGGGCACAGCTGAGACCAGGTCAGGCTGGACCCAAACACAAGACCCTTCTCTACATTCTCTTACACTACACACTGAGTGGTAGCAGGAACAGCCTCTGCTTTGGTTCAGCAGTAATTACTGGGCTAGCCTTTCATTAGTGTCTGACACTAATTAATATGCCATGTGCTCTTTCAAGAGCACCAGATAAGTACTCACAGCTTTTGCTAGGCAGACGGTAACTTCCATTACTTGACCAGATTTGCTGACCTCTTAGATATCTCACCCCTTGCACAGCTCTGTGGCCATATCGTAGCAGGCTGCTAAGCATTCCCACCAACAAACAAGAAGGACTCTGATTTTGAAAGCCACAGCCTGGGTAAAATCCCATTGCTCTTTTCTGATCCATCTTCTCCTGACATAAACTTTTTGTCTGAATTTGTCCAAACGCAGCCAGAAGGACAAGCTGCAGGTTTAAGCTCACAGTGGGCAGCAAATTCCCTCCCTCATCTTAAAAGCCTTTTGGTTTCCCATGACTTTGTTGCATCTTTCAGGTCTCAGGAGGGGAATCACAGATTGTAAATTTCTTTACATGTCCTCTTTTCACACTCTTAGGAGTGAAAAATAAAATACTGCCCAGCTAGGCCATCCCTCTGCCTCTGAATAAACATTTGTGTCAGGGTTCCCATTCTTGCCAAGGTGTTAGGATAACATTCTCATGCTGATTCCCCTGCCCTCCTTCAGCATCCCAGTGCTGGAGGTCCACTTCCGAGGCTTTGAAATGGCCATGCTCTCACCTCATCTCATACACATGGAAATCAGATCACCAGAAGGAGTAAGCTTGTAAATCCCCCCTGGGAAGTCAACAGGGCAGGTTAGGAAATTATGACCTTCAGTATACTAATGGTTCACTGAAGAGCTCTGTGCACCCCAAAGAGGCTGCAATGAAAATGGAGGAGCCAGGGTTGATAGCACTGCTGAAGGGCTTGGGCCTCCTTCCACTGACCATTTTGCCACTATTTCAGCAAAAGCCACAGATGAGCGTTTGAAACTTTTAACTGTTTGCTTGTTTACATACACTGAGGGCAAAGGCTCTCCTATCATTAGCAATTGTTTGTGTAAGGGTTCAGAAGCAACTGATAGGGAGCCATGTTGTACCAGGCACATGCCCAGATTGTCCTTGCCACAAACTTGACAGACAAGAGATGAAGGGCTACAGCACAGGAGTAGAGTGGGTATTGCAGCAACACATTTCTGGCATCAACCACAAGACCAGCTTGTCTCCTTAGTAGTTGTGTAAGACACACAGGGTGCTTCCTGGTTGTGCAAACATCTCCTGCTTATGCCGCTTCTAACTAACCAGAGGAACATACTGCCATGTGGTGTTGCGGAGGCAGATAGCTCTGGTGACTGCACAGCAACAAGGAAAAGGCCTTGTCTGCGCTTCAGAGGGGATCCTGAGGTAGTTATGCCCTGAATCATGTTGGAAAGCCCTCCAGCTACTGGGCATCACATACTCTGTCCAGTATCGACCCTGCTCATTTTCTGAGCAGAATTAGCAATGAATCCTCCTGTTCATTTACTTATACCTAAACAGGGGATTTTTCTAGCAAAATCACAGTGGTAAGAGAAGGAATATTCTGTCTACTGACTTCCATAGCTGGTCTAGGAGGAGTTTCCAGTGCAGACCTGGAAATGAGTCTGCAGGCAGGAAGAAGGTTCTGTCAGTCCTCAAGTTTCACAGCTGGGACCCAGGCACAATTTTTCTCTTCATTACCTAATTATATAGGTAGCTTTATTTGTGAAGGGGATGTATCTTTTGAATTTCCTTCCCTTGTGTATGCCAGCCATGTTCAGGGAAGCACCTAGTCTTTGGTTTGGTTGCACCACCAGTACCACTGTTTTCTTCTCCATAGATGCAAAGCAGCTCAGAAGGAGCTTATGTGTGAACAGATAAGCATGTTCCTAAACCCACACCTCTGAGAGCTGAACTGAATGCTTCTGTTCCCTCCTGACCCGTAAGCCAGTGGTTACTTTTGAAGTGTCTCTTAGTGCCTGATGATAAGGCCAATGTTGCTTGTTTAGGGTAAGGCAAATTAGGTACAGTGAAAGACCTGAAGGGAAAGAGGGAAAGCTGTTGTGAGACAGACCATGCATTCAGTATTGTTCTGTCTCTGTAAAAGAGAAAGGGGGCAGTGACCAAAGCCCTGATCTAGATTAGATCCAGAGGTCTTGTTGGGACTGCAATAAGATCATCTTCAAAGCTTAAGCACTGACTTAAATATTTCTTTTCTAATCTTGAGTAGGAGTTGGTTTGAGGATATTGCTTCAGGCACATCTTGAATACAAAATACCATGAAGTTCATATTTATCAGTGATCGAAGAAACAGAGAGAAATAAGTTGTTTGGGAGGAGAGAACTTCAACCAACACTGAATGAAATTATGCAGAACTCCTGATATTAATCAAGTAGGGTATCTTAACCTACAACTTACTTTAACATAGTTAAATGCCTATTAGTGTGGGCCTTTTGAACAAGTGTCTTTTGATACATTAGAAAGAATCAGCAAAAGAACAGTTCTCTTGGCTCTTTGAAAAACTTGTGGGTTTTAAAAACTGAAGTAATAGTTGGATTTCTGCCTGAAATCCTGTGTTATGGACTGTCTCTTCCAGGTGAAACCCTGTGTTCAAATATGCGTACATCTTTGCTGTACCCAAGCCCTGTTATGGTTTGTTTGTTTTAGAGGTCCCTGAGGGCTTTTGAGTAATTTTCTTAGGGGACACAGTGAAGCATGTGCAGCAGCACTTGAAATAGGAATGTTCCTCTTTCTGTATCAGCTGGCACGATCCCTCCAACGGGCATCTGGTTTGGGCTGTAGGGTTTTTCTACATTGTGTTTGTAGAGCTGTCTTACATCAAAAGAGAACCTAGAGAAAAGGGAACAAAATCTTAAAACCATTCTCTTTCCTCTACCACTACTGTGAAATATGCTCCCAAGAATGAGAGCGGGTCACATCATTATTCAGCGTTGGTATATAAGTGCTTTGGAAAGGGTTACGAGGGCATTTCCATTATTTGCTGTGGTTGTTTGGTGGTTGTGACATTTAGAGGGTACTTTGAAGAAAATAGCCTGGATGGTAAATGACAGCAGAGAAAGGGGAAGGAAAGCAAATGGAGAGGAGGGAAGTTCACAGAGATTTCCTGACAAGATGAAAGGATGAAGAAAACCCAGTGAGTTCTCATTCAAAAACCGTTTTGGTGGCCTCTGTTTGAATGAGAACTGTTTCTTAGCATGCTTAACAGCTACTTGGTCTTGTCCAGGAGTATACTTCACCAAATGTCTGCTGTGTTTAACACCACAGTCAGCTTTGTAATGTGTGATGAGAATTATTTTTACAGCTGAGCTTCTTAAGAGAGACCCAAATGTGGTGTGTAAATCCTGGCGAGTTTTAACACACCTCAGTTGCGCTAAAGAATGAAATGCTGGTCTTCATCGGGATTAATAAGGTACAGAAAAATATTAATGTTTAAACCAAATTAAAAGCAGCCTGGGAATCTGGTGTCTTCTACAGTCTGTGCACGTGAAGGGACAGGGACAATGACAGGACTTTCCCTCATGATTCACAGCACAGTATTGGTCAAGTCATCTTTCCCGTATGTCCTGCAGTGTCACAACCTGCAGAGGAGACAAAACAGTAACCACTACTCCAGATGCACACTGTGGGGAATCAGTGTTTGTACACAGTTTTAATTAAGGATTTTGCAAGTCTCAGTGGCTCTGATATCAGGTGATGGCATAAACTAAATATTGATAGGTACTTAACTGAAAAAGAGGAGTTTGGAGAAAAAGTCTGGCATGAGGAGGGAGTCTTGTGGACAAGCGCACTCATATTTTGACTGTGACCTTGGGAAAATTGCTTAACCTGTCCTGTGTGTCTTTATTGCCAAACTCTAAACCTGAGTCCATATGTTACTGCCTTGTTTGAAGGATTGCAGGAGCAAATTAGTCAGCCTCTGAGAGACACTCAAATACTACATTGATATATAGAGAGCTGGCCAGGAAACTTCTTAAATCCTTCAACTTTATTGCACATCAAGATAAAACAATCTTTCAAAAATTGGTGGGCAGATTGGTGACTGAAACAAACATACATAGAGCAAACATCATTTTGGTGGTAAGCGTGTTCCTATGGGCTATAGATCCACATTCAAATTACCATTAACTTACTTCATAGAGGTACTTGAACCTGGAGCTTTCCTCTCATTGAAAACTGTTCAGAACAGGGGTGCTTGGTTAATAAAAAGCTGTTTTGTTGAAAAAAGAATAAATTAATTAAAAATCTGACCTGCTCTAACATAGAACAGGAGGAATGTGACCAATAAGTGCAAAATTTAAATATGGAGGAATCCTTTTAGAGAAGGCAAGGCACAAGAGGGAAGAAGTGAAGAAAATGAGAAAGAGAATATGAAAAGGCCTGCATATCTATCACCAAATGTGTCTTTTCCAAAGCATGTGGAAAAAAGCATCATGAAGGGCGCAACACAGCAGGCTAGGTGTAGACTGAATCCATAAACCTGTCCCCAGAGCTCTGAATAGTGCAGTGGTAAGGGATAGTGAGGTGTGAAACAGAGCAAATTTAGAGAAAGAGCTATGTCAGCAGCAGCATCAAAACCTGGCCTTGTTTAAGAGAGATTAGAGGCAGGGAGAGAGGGGAGGGAGAAAGTGTTGGTGCACTATAAGATTATCACACATTTCTAAAGAGGTCTGAAAGAGCTGACTTCCTGCTGAGGGGTTCCTGGCATATTGGTGTGAACAAGCATCGCACTATCACCTGCAAAGTCTTTAAGTGCAAGTGGTGACACTTCAGCATTCACAGCCTGCCTTAGAAAATCCAAGGGAAGCAAAAGAAAGATGAAAACCATGCAAATCAAAAGGGTGCTGCTCCTATTGTTCATCCTGCTGCTCGGCTAACTGGAAATCCCTTTGAGCAACAGAGGTCACATCTCTGCCCACACCCTAGGGCAGGGCTGCACTGCCACTGGGGAAGCAGCTCCCCGCAAACAACTCTAATGATAACAGTACAATTATATCACTCTGCTAGGCAGGACACAAGTTGTCACCATGAAAGCATACTTTTAGCAGAATATATACCTGCAAGCACAAGTACCACTAGAAGATGATTACCCTGTGACATGGCAGCATAGCCCCTTTGACAGTATAGGCAGGACTGAAACCACCCTGGACTGTCTTGAACCAAACTAGGACTTTATGGGCACCTGGGAGTGGGTCTGAGTTATCAAAGACAAGAATGGTGCACCTAGACCTTCCCCAGCTGGGACCCTGGGAATGACTACTGCACCCCTGGCCATGAGCTCCTGCTGGTCCAGGCTCATTGGCTCAAGGGCTGAATGTGCTGTGAAACACATGAAGACCTGAAGGAAGCAGGAACTTCACAGACAAGTCATGCACCAGAAACTGAGGGGAAAGGAAAATTAACCCAAGATTTTGAC